TGTTTTTTTGCTCTTCATCACTAATATGATATATGGAGTTAGATCAAACTCAAATATCGTTTGTATTTTTCTCCATGATAAATGAACTGTTTCCTTATCGTTTTCTACATCAGCCTGTCCACATCGCCTAATAAACCACTGCATCACCTGTTGCTAGGCAACAAGCTAAGCAATAGATAATATTATTTTATACTAGATCATTTCTTCGGCCAGGTACACATAACCAACTCACGAAGGTCATGCAGACCCCTTTTCCCGTAAATAAGGCTTTCTCATTATACTCTTCAGGAGAATCTTTTTTTCTTTTAGCAAATAAACAGTATATTTGATTAATACATGATTACAATGTTTATTATGTGTTTGGTTATCTTTTAACCAAAAATGTATATTTGGTGTTTAGCATTTTTTATTATTCTGAAGCAAGCTGTTCGATCCGGGACCTGCATTGAAAAGAAAAGAAAACGTAGCAACTAAAGTATCGAAATAAGGACATTTTCTTCTTAGTTGTATATTAAAAACATATAATGAAACAGTTACTGACTTCCGTGCTGGTAAATATGATGTGATAGGAACCTGAAAACATGTGATATCGACCTCGCCTTTGCCTCGGTTTATGTCAATTTTAAGGTTCATAACAAATCATGTGCCCATCACAAAGGTCCATAATTGTAAATTTTGTTTAATATAACCATTATATCAGAACTGTCATTAACAGTAGGCCCGATGCCAAATGTTTGTATCACGCCCACACAAGGAATCACGAAAATGAAATGCATGCGGGATCAGCTGGTACATACTATTTTTTTTGTTGGAAGGGTTAAAAAAACAAACATTGTCGGTATGACACAAATAGTGGCAACAAACATGTTTTAGTAGAGATGGGCGTTTATACGGGAATATTTTAAACATAACGCGAGTTTTCTGGCTCGGTCCACAATAATTCCGATCCAATCAAACATTATCGGGAGGTCGGCAGATATAGCAAACATGTTTGAATTGAAGAAAAAAATAAGAAAGTGACATGGGGAGGAGAATGAGGCGGATAAATCTTGTTTATCTCCCCTTGAATAGTGTTAATACAGCGCGTTTCTGTGTTACCATCTTACAGTATACATCCAGCAGTGGCGGATCGAAATAATCAATACGATAGCTTCAGTCAAATTATTAGCATTGTAAATGACAAGATGGAGTTCATTTGTACTATAGAAAATAATTATAACGATGATACCAACGTTAATTATATCGCTTTCATAATATTCATAACGATGACCTGACTTAATTTTATTATAATGTAGTACGATAACTTGACTTACCGAGATAATTTTGGTGACATTATTATCTCGACAATTTTATATCGACTTAAAATTACATTTTGTAACTGTTCGTAGGGATATGACGTTGCTAAATATTTTAGTTATTTGCCATTTAGTGTAGATATATCGCTGTTTAGTTTGTTTTTGCTTTACGTCCTATCAATAGCTATAGTCAGTTAAGGACGTGCCAGGCTTTGGTGGTTGGGGAAAACCGGAGCATCCGGCGAAAACAAATCGACCTACGGAAAGTACTATCAAACGATCAAACGTAGGCCTCGAATCCGGGAGTTAGTGATCGAGGGTTGTCACCGCGGCCCCCTTTCCGAATTCAAAATTCAATTAGTAGAATACCTTGTAAATTGTTTTAGTTTGGTGGTTGGGTGGCGTAGTGGATAGCGCACCCGACTTTCACCATGGTGACCGGGGTTCGATTCCCCTATCGGTCGTGAAAAAGTATGGGGTCACCTTCCCGATCACTTGGGTTTTCTTCGGGTACTCCGGTTTCCTCCCACAATGAGACCCCAGCGCTAACAAGAGTGCTTAATATGAGTTTAAATAAGTTCATTCATAATTGTTGTAGAATGAATGAAGTTTATATATATCTTTAGATTTAATTGAACTATTAGATACACCGAGTACTTAACTATTAGATAAACCAATTTTTATTGTGACCAAAGATTTTAAAGTGTTATTTCTATAATCGATATAAGATAAAAAAATAAAAAAAAAATAAAAAAAAATGTGTTCCGAATGCTTCTCGGAGTCTAATACGGAAAACCGAAGAATGGCTTTAATCGCTGTTATTAGTAAAGTGGAAAGTCATGATAAATGTCTTCTTGTTTCTTGCTGAAAGCCAAAACGTGCGTTAACATTTAAAACTGACAACAGTACTTAGACGTGTATAATGATAAATCCATGATTTCTTATAGGTTTGAACATAAGCCAATACAATATTAAAACGCATATCCATTAGAAAGTCTTCTGCAGATGCACTAATGAAATCTGCGCTTTAGGCAATACCTACAGGACGCTAACTTTTTGAATGCCTTTCGGAACTCCTCGTTGAAAACAGTATATATAAAGGGATTTACAAGGCAATTAAAATATCCAAGCCAGAGAACGAATGTCTGCACGGATTGTGGAATGGTGACGTCCTTGTTTTTAATCAAAGGAGAAATTAGTGCAACGATGAAAAACGGCAACCAACACATTATAAATGCCCCCGTTATTATTCCGAGAGTTCGTGCAGCTCGCCGTTCCCGTTTAGATTCATGTTTCCTTTTCTCCTCGTCTAGATTTAGTACATTGCTTCGATGTCCGGAAAATCTTGTTGAGTTTTCATCAAAAGTTGTGTGATTTCCTATCGTAAACATTTTGAAGCTTCTACTATCATTTAAAACAGCTCTCCTCCTTTTAAACGGCGACGCATTGCCAATCGGTATATTTATCGGTTTGTCGTTACTCTGAGAAATCTGTTCAAGTTCAAATTCATTTGCAGCTTTATTTTCTGTAGAGGATTTCCTTCTTGACACGAAACTGGATTCACTATAACTCACACAGCGGCCATCTATACTGGCTCGGGATAATACGGTATCTGAACGATGTTTGTCGAACCTAGCTTGCGAATAGCAGACTGTTTTCCGATGATTGCCGAATCGTGGCCGGGAACAGCCGGAATTTTCACAACGGTCATGAACGTTTGCATGAAACACACCGAAATTTTCACGTTGATTGTTGGAGCTAGCCTGAGAAGGGACGATTAGCGCCCCGTGATCCGTGATGCTTGTTTTCTGCCGATGATTGACGAAGCCCGGCCCTTCGATCTTTCCGTGATGGTCATTGATACAGCCACACTTTTCTCTGTTATTGCCCTTACTGCAACGACAATCTGTACAGCCACTGTCCGTATCACAAAAGGTAACACTGCGTTGCGACCTTCGGCTGTTGGAGCTTATTGAAGACCTATGAGTTTGAGAGTTGTCGAGACTTGTCCGAGAATTGCATCTGCCATGGTTTACATGTTGTGAGTCGAAGCTTTGCCGAGAACTACCGAACTGTACATGGTGACTGCCGATACTGCCACGGGAACTGCTGAAGTGGGATCGTAAGCTGTCGAGACTTGCACGAGAGCGACCGAAATGATACCGAATGTTGGCAAAGCTCGAACGATGCCGTCTTTTGCTGGAGTTCAAACACTCTGGTGCGCTACTTCTCCGAATTTCGTTCTCGTCAGTTTTAAGCAATTTCTTAAAATAAGTCTTTCTGATACTCGATTTGGCAATTCTAAATATCTTGTAGTAAATCGAAACCATTACCATTGCGGGTATGTAAAAAGCAAATATTGTAGAAAACAAAGTATAAATAACACTCTGGTCGATCAAGCATTCCCCAGTGATGCTGGGGTCATATTTCGGGTCAGAGACTCCAAATATGAGCGGGCTACATATTACCCAGCCCACACACCAACATATAGTTATCATTCCCAAGATCTTATGAGTAGACCGTTTACACTGGTAGTTTATATCAGTTACTGACCTGTACCGGTCAACAGCTATGACGAGCAGGTGGAATATTGACACGGAACACAGATTGACGTCAAGAATTATCCACAGGTGACAGACGAAGGGTATAAGGACAATGTCGTGCTTTAACACATTGATAACGCTGAGTGGCATTACCAGAACCGCCACCAGGAGGTCAGTGGCCGCCAGAGAGAGCGTCAAGTAGTTGGTCGGTGTTTGCAGCCGACGTTCAAGCCGGATCGACGCGATCACGAAAGTGTTTCCAACAAAAGTCATCACTATCATCATCAACACGAGCAAGAGAAACGCAATCTTCCACTCTGTCAACCGTAGACTTCCGGAAACGTCTGATAGCGTACCGGTAGTATTCAGTGAGCCGTTTTGTATAGTACCACCTGGTAGAAGACATGTCGAGTTGAGTATGGAATGGTACTCTGTGTTGCCTGGCAACATGCCTGTTGAAGCGAGTACGTCACAAATCTTTTCTAAGCTTGAGAACATGTCTATCGCATCATATCCACCTTTGTACTCTGTGTTGCCGGGGAGAGCAACGGTGGAATTGAGTAAGTCGGGATAACCAGACATCCAAGAAAATAAATCGGTTCTGTTGTGTGAATCCGGAGATCCCATAATGCAATTTGAGTTGTGAAAACCATGGTAACCAGAAATGTTTGGAAGTATGGCGCCTGAGTTGTCCTCAAAACCGGTTGAAAATATGGCGCCTGAAGCAGTATCCGTATTTTTAATGGAGTCTGATGCATGCCATAAAAAGTGCGGAGGTTTGTTGATGAACTTTGATAGTGGCGGCATGTTCCGTACATCAGGTAGTGACAGTCACCTCTCTTCAGCGATCATCTGGGTCGGGAGTAACGATATACCTGGAAGGAGAGAGAAGGACACATCACCTCTTTCTTGCTTTGGTATTGTTCGTTGTCTTTTTATTACCATTATTGTTATTTATTTTTTATATATTTTATTTGGTTTTAATTTCATTTCACTTGTGGCACTAATCGATTGTTCAGAACGTCTTTATATTAGGAAAACTTGACATGCCCGATATAAGACAGGTCCAAATTCCTCTGATGTTCTAATATGGTGTTACGTGTGTAACAACATAACACTTGTCTATGTTTAGATGGGTAGATTAGTTGCGGAATTCAGCAGGGACCCCCTTAGGTATATACACATGACTTTTATAACCGGAATGTCCTTTAGTTTCTGACTG